GAACTCATGAGTCGATTGATCGCTTATCAGTCGACTGAGCAGAAAAGAAATCACAATTCCAGGGCATTTCATGACTCGACTCATCAATTCACAAACCTAACATTATAAAATAATTCGCCGAGGTGGAGAATTATGGATAACCCCAGAAAAACCTGTTTTTAGTGTCATGAGTCGACTTATGACAGTCGTGAGTCGACTTATGCCTGTCATGAATCGACTCATGAAATGCTCTGGAATTGTGATTTCCTTTTTGCTCAGTCGACTGATAGGCGATCAGTCGACTAATGATCTGATCAGTCGACTGATGAAAGGTTTTCTGGGCTATTTTATTGTTTCCTATTTGGTTTTGGATTGAGTGTTTGTACAAATACAAACACAATTTTTAGGGTTTATTGATGAGAGTATTAGCAGCCTTTTGAGCACTTTGAGTGAGAGAATTTGTGAGGGACTTGAGAGTTTTAATTTGTGAGATTATTGAGTGATTGTAATCTCTATTTGCACACTCTCTCTCTTTATTAGTGAAATCTATCCTCTCCTTGCCCTGTGGACGTAGGCACATTCCCGAACCACGTAAATTTGGTGTCTTGCTTGTGTGGTTCTTGTTCTGGTTATCGATTTGTGCTCCTATCTCGTTTGTGTTCGTGTTCGACAATTCCGCTACGCACAACAGTTAAAATATACCTATTAAAATAATAAATAATCAAGAAGCTTACCTTGCACATTGTGATGTGGATGGAGGTCCCTGACAGCCACAACTGCAACGAGGACATGAAACTATAGTGTCATTGTAGAATGTTGACAGGGAAACACAGCAGGTGGGCTTAAGCGATTCTCTGAACTGAGAATAGGAACAAGTCACCTGCCACGTCACTGCACCAATTTTCACCAAATGGTGAGATAGGGAAAATGTATCTGTGTATATGATAAAATAAAATGCTAACAAATGCAATTTAGATTCAAATAGCCTTTTGTTTAACAGATAAGTAGGACATGGATGGATAGTATTCACTCTGGCAAAGATTTTTAGTGTTCCTTCTCAAATAGATTATGCGCTGATGAACTCTTGTCTACTTGCTTACTAACATCAACTGTGAATAACGTAGTTTTACCCCTTGATGACAACTATAAGCAAGGCACATTTAGTAGCAATATATACAATGAGGTTAATCTCTGATAGACCTTATGTAATATTGATGTCCTGAACTTACTACCCCCTAGTTTTATTGTTGTGGATAGAACCCTTGAATGAATTTTTTTTTTAACTTTCTTACCCTCAGGAGGTCTATTTGTCAAAAAAAAAAAAAAACTATTTTCTCTCTGCCAGGATAAAGAATAAAAGAATTAACCGAGGAGGTCTATCCGCGATCAAAATGTTTTTAAACACGATTCAAGCTTACTCAGGGCTTGCTTCTGATGACGGGTATTTGGAGTCATAAACTTTGTCGGAGGAACGACGGTGACATTGCTGCAAGTGTATCCAGCGACCCCGAAACCGAAATTAAAAGGCTTTGCTCTCAAAGGACCCCCATCCTTCATCTCCCCTCCTACGCTCATCTGAAACGACGACATGTACCTATCTCCATCCTGGATCATTGACGATAACACCCCTCCCCTGCAGCAGTTTTGTGTTTGCATCTTGTAAGGAGCCCCGGGGAGCAAATCGACAATTACTGGATTTTTCTCGCATGAATGAGGGAGGTTGTCCCCTCGGAAACGAGAGCAGTTGCCCTGCTTGGTGGCCTCAGCACCTCTCATGTCCCATATTACTTCGTCGGACGGCCAAGTCCAGCTCAATGCCCAGCCTGGTTTTTCTACGTGTCTATAAAGTTGGTTGTTGTATACATTAACCAGAACCTACATCACAAGAGAATGGGATTTGAGATCTCTGTATAATTATAAGTCACAATAGAAATGTTTTTTTTTTTTCTTTTTTTTAGGAGAAGGAAAAATCATTGAAGTTCACAAGTTAATTATCAAAGCCTCTCTAACAACAGAGCAAAATCCCCCGTCAAGATATTTCAGAAATTTGCAGAAGAACAAACAAGAAAATTTGAAATTGGGCAACGGGTACCGTGTATCCGCCGTCATCACGGAGCTCTTGGAAATCCCACTTGATCTCGATGTCCCCATTTGGGTCTATAGGATCATAAGACTCTGTCCCCATCAAAATTACACAAACTCACAATTAATACTAATAAGTTACCAAAATAAGCAAAATATTTCAGAGTGCTAGAAATTAAATTTTTTTTTAAAAAAAAAATGCCGACCGACCTGAGAAATGTAAGAGAGAGAAGAAACAAAACAGAACCCAACATCCTCTCGAGCTCATCCTCCCCAATACAGTACGATGCAGAGGATATTGCAGGCAGGGAGATATTTATGGGATATTTCTTTTATTTATTTATTTATTTTCATTAGTGCCGATCCAAGGGAATGAGTCATTGAATCTGGTAACATGTATTTATTTACGGTCATTATTTTGTTTCCTCGTATTTTACAAAAATGGAAGGTTTTAATGCCGTTTTTGGAGGGAAAGCTGGCCATGGCCATGGAGGCCACGTGGGCATCAAGAAACGGGAAGGTTTTTAATGTGACAGCTAAAGGGGTGGTGATTGGGAGAAAGCAAGGATTAATCCCAATTTTCTTTTCTTGGAAAAATAAAACAGAAACAAATTGTCCTGCTTTTTTAATAGCTTTAGTTTAGTGATAATTAATTTTTTTTTTTTACCCAACAGCTTTAGACTTGTTCCGGTCTCCTGTTTGAATTCGTAACGGTAAAAACGAGTTTCTTGTGCTTCGCTATCGCTTGGAAACAGGGTAGAGTTGGGAGTAAACAGTGCCCAACACAAACACGAATGGCTACCAAAAAAAATTATATAAATAGGAATGTTTTTAGCTTTTCAATGTATACCCTCTGAATTATCAGTATTTTGGATTTTGTGTCGTGAATAACGTAAGTGTTGACTTTTTTTGCTATAATAACAGATAAACATAGCTTACGGTTTTAAAAAAACGGGTTTTCTATAGAGTGTCCATGGTCATTCTATAAAAGAGGAGAAAGATAGAGAGAAATAAATGAAAAAGAGATCCCAATGCAAATTAGGGGTCCCCTCTCTTCATTCATTTCTCTCTCTCTCCTCTCTTATAGAGTGCCTATGGGCACTCTATAGAAAAACCGTTCAAAAAAGTCAACACATCAGATGCCATCTAACATAATCTCATAGATGAAAATATTTTCCATCGTTTCCTACCAAAATTTGCTATAAAATTAGAAACCTTATTGTCTTCTCCATAGATGTGTGAAACTTTAAATGATTGTAGTGAATTAAGCATAGCATGCACGTCCTTGATCAAAAACATGACAGTGTTTAAGATCGGTACATATTGTGACCTCGTGAATAATAACTTCCTAATCTCCCTCCACCAATAGTTTCCTTCGGTCAATGTAGAAAGGGGGAAAACCCCATCAAGACCGCTCCAAAGTCCTTCCAGTTCTGCAGTGATATTTAAATAAACTTTAAATCCCTGTGAATTCCGAAGGAGCCCAAACTGTGAACAAGCCCAGTGTTAATGGGCCAGAAAGTCTAGACAAGCTCTCGACGACAGCGTCGGCTCATTAGCGGGCTCGGTTCTTTGCGGCTGTCAAAAGTCCATGGATCGCAAACCTCGGATATATCCACTTTTGTGTTTATTTTTATTTTGGGTTTTACTAATGTACTAAGCTCTTTTAACAATTTTAAAATTGCATTCGAAGTCTTCGTTGTTGTCGATTTAAGCCTCCATTCTCGTCAATTTATCCTTCGCTTTACAATTAAACCTTTAGCTTCCCCCTCTTTTGTACTGTCAGAGTTATGAAATGCCCGTCCATAATTTGCCATGTTTTTTTTTCCAAATCTAACCAAAATACCTCCAACGTATTGAATAAAACTACAGGGATGAAACGCGCAAGCGTAAAGTCATGCAAACTACAGGGTATCTAAGTGCAATTTAGCCTATAATTTTTTATAAAAGTAGTGGTGAGGCCCATCTCATAACTAGCTTATAAGCTAAGCAGCCAATTTTTGTTTCCTTGAGAGGGTAACTAACTCCATCGAGGCTGGCATAACAAAAGGAAATCAATCTAAGCCAATTTCTCAAAAAATAAAATCTCGAATCTTTGAAAGCAAGCGAGCAACCGACGCCACGTGAAAACCTGCACCTAAATAAAACCGATAAATTTACTCCAGCCCCCTTTTCCTTCCTCTTCATTTTTTTTTTATTTTTGCAGATTTATCCCC